ATATATATATATATATATATATATATATATATATATATATATATATATATATATATATATATATATATATATATATATACCCAAGTGGATCGGAGTTGTGTAGAGCTATTGATTAAAGTAATTAATTAAGATGGCCGGAAAACAAAACAAAAATTAGTACTAATCCGATCGATCCGTAATAATGGAGTACAAGTCATCATGTTTGATACGTACGGCACTTAATTAGTACTCCATTTAGATTTATTTTTGTTTTGTGGCTTTGATTGGTCTCAAGATGTCTCTCCATTTAGCATTTTTGTCTTTGTCCATAAATGATGCATGGGATGGTGGAGAATTAGTCGTCATTATGTGCATGGAATTAGCATTAAATCATACTCCCTCCGTCCCCAATTTGATTACAAATTGTGGGTTACGGAGTAAATTTTTTTTACTTTTTGAAATCATTTTATTTACAAATTGATATATTAATAAGATATAAAAATTACATATTAAAAAACTACGTCAAAAGTTCTACAAAACAAGAGGTGACAAGAATATTTTATTTTATCAAATACTTAATGAAATCGCGTAAACAAACAAAAGTTATCGAGAGGAGAGAAAGAAAAAAATTGTAATCTATTTAGGGACGGAGGGAGTATTTAGTAACTCTAGCTTTGTATAAGAGAGAAAAGTCTTCATATATTTTCCGGAAATAGTGAAAATATGATTTTGTTTTTCTTGTGTATTCTCCTTAGAGCTGGCAAAACGGTCGATCGGATTCGAGTTCGATCACCTTGGGTTCAGGTTACTTCGGCTTCAGGTAAGTTCAGATTCGGGTTGAGAGCTACATGACCCAATGTAATCGGGTACGGGTCAACTCAATGGGTTATAACTTTCATTTTTTTTAAAATTTTAAGTAATTTTTAATTTTTTATGATCGGTTGTCAATATTACGAATATTGAAAATTTTGAAAAAAGTAAGATAATTATACGATATCATTAAAATTTTGTATGAATATATAAATTTATATATTTAAAAACGAGTAGCTAGTAAGCAAAGAAGTATAATTAAAATCATATTTGATTACATATTAAAGCATATAATTTTGAAAAACTCTTACATTAGCGGGTTGGTCATGTCGGGTTCGGATTTGGTCGGGTTTGACCCATTTTTAACGAGTAATTTTGGTTCGGTCAACTTCGAGTTCAGTCAGCAAGATCTTTGCTCAAAATCCAGTATTTTCAGATCGGGTTTCAAGTTAAAAACAATTGAGATCATTAATTTTCCTTGTGCTTGCCCTATCATTTTCCGGCATTTTCAATATTTTTCGTTGTCTTACAACCTTAATTAAAATCCCGACAACTTCGAACGTGTCAGAAACAAGTATGTAGTGTGCCTCCAGTTTTTTTTAATGTCGATCAAGCGTGCTAGCTACGGACGACACATCATGTAATTTCGGCATCAATTTTCGGCCTGGTTTGGCATTAACGTTTGAGTTTTGAAAAAACTATCTGACAAACATTAGAATTTTATCAAAAATATTAACGACAATCGAAAACGATATTCCCAAATAAAGTTCTTATCTCATTGTGTCGTAGGGACAAACAGAGATGAATTTCTAACAAATTCAACGTAACTGTATATATATTTCTATTTCTAGAGGGAGTATATATATTTCATTCACTTTGCCTGTACCATTTGCCAGGGAAGGACAATCGTACTTTGAGCATATGGGATCTTTGTTTTGTGGAGTACTAAAGACAGCATTCTTTTGGGATAAAAATCTTCAGTTTTTTCTCTTTTCATGTTATAGTTGGGACCTTGGGATGCGAGCCATCCTCTTTTCTTAAAAGCAAATTTTACAACAAAATTAACATTTAAAACTGACAAGAGTACTTTGCATATTACAATGAAAATTTTTGATTTTATAATCGAAATAAAAGTGTTTTGCCAATATTGCAAATACTCCGTACTGAATAATGAATAACCAATGGATCATCTATTTTTATAATCCACAATGCTTATAAATTTTTATTTATAAAAATTGAAAAAAAATGAAATAAAACATGCATAAAACCGAACTCTATGTGAAAAACAACTACTTGTATGATTTATGAGCCTATTAAGTCGGCGAGCGTTGTGCAGTTAGCAAAGACAAGAAATTTCAAAGAGTAGACTCGAGTTTCATTTCTGACAACTGTGCTAGAAAGAAACTATGTTATGCATAGTCTCTGCAAATAATGACTACAGACTTTATTTTTTATCATCAATCTAGATTATCAATGTTTAATTTACCACTTTTCAGTAAAAATTTTTAATTTCTTGTTTTTATTTGTTTTATTTATGAGCCTATCAAGAGTTGTTGTAGGAGTTAAATGAAAACCTAGCCTAGGCACGTGATACCCCGAAAAGCATTGATAGATACGTGGTGCTCCGTCTCAAATACTTCCTCATGTTCAATTTTGTTTTGGAATGTTAAAATAATCTATTTTTTTTATGGAAAAAAGATTAAAATAGGAAAAAATTATTAAAAATATACCAAAATAGAAATTCTATGTTTTTATTCTTTACATAGGAGTTAAAATATATGTTCATTATCATTAATGACCATGTACATTACGTAAAATGCACATGTACAGTGCCACATTACCACAATGCGAGCTTCTATTTAGATTTAAAAACATGAAATTCATATTTTGGTACTTTTTATATGTTTTAGTCATATTTAGTGTTTTTTTTGAGCGCACCTAAGTGTTGGGAAAATCGCCTCAATTTTCTAGCGGAAGCAACTAATAATTTTCCCTTCTTTGTGTTGTCAAACTGAGCAAAATCATATGACCGATCAAGAATAGTAAACACAACAACAAACAATCAATCAAGAAATAAAAGAACACCAAGATTTAACGTGGATTCACCCAAATCAAAAAAACAACCATGTTGATTTTATGAATTCACTCTTAATGAATAATTGTGTACATGGATGTTTATATAGGTGAGGATCCCTACATGGACTAGGATTCACCAAATATGTAAACTAACATAAATAACAATTCTTCTATAACTAGACTTATTTCCATATATGTCTAACATCCACCATCAAGCTGAACGTCGTGAAACGAGAGGAAGCTTGGCAACCAGTGCAGTGTAGCGTGGCGAGGCAAGAGCTTTTGTGAGAAGGTCTGCTAGCTGCTCATTGGAAGGAACATAAGAGACCGTCATTTTCTCTGCAATTACTTGTTCTCGTACAAAGTGGCAATCAGTTCCGACATGTTTCATGCGCTTATGGAAGACCGGATTCTAAGTCAGACAGATGGTGGACTGGTTGTCGCATAGGAGATGTGGAGGAGGGAGCTTGATCTGTAAAATATCAAACAAGTAGGTGAGCCACATCACCTCAGCTGCTGCGGCCGAGAGAGCTCTGTACTCGACTTTGGTGGACGAGCGTGAGACACGACTCTGTTTCTCCGTACTCCAAGAGAGTATATTAGAGCCAAAATATATCAAGTAACCTGTAATAGACCGTCC